ATTTTGGCAACCGGCACCATCACACCGGTACATGCCATCAAAATAGGGGCTCAGGTGCAAAGGGGGTGGTTTGGCATGTCTTGGCGGGGGGGGGGTGTCTTGCTTTTCTGAGTGCCCTCCCCTGTATTCACAGGAGGCTGCCAGGGACCACAGTGCAGTGGTGGCCTTGTACAGGAGCCACCTCCTATATGCCATTCAGGTGAGTCAGCTCTGGCTCTGGCCATGCCACTGGCTGCTCTCTGGGCCTCAGTTTCCCCATATGTACCACAGCAGGGGCACCTAGGCTCTCCCTCTGCTGCTCCCACCGCAGGGCCAGATGGATGAAGACGTGCAACGGATTCTGAGCCAGATCCTACAGATGCAAAGGCTTCAGGTTCAGGGCCGCTGAGCCTCAGAACACTGACCCTCTGCCCACCAGGCCCCACACAGGGGTGCTGGGGCTCTCGAATGACTGTCTACACTAGGAGACCAGCCTGCCCACCCCTCTAATGTCTCTAGCTATCTGTCTATCACTCTGGCCCTGACTGCCCCCTCCCACCCCCCACTGGAGAATCTGTGAGTCCTCTCTCTCCCATTCCCATCGCCAGACACCACCCCAGGAATAAAAGCTCATGGAACAGAGGACAAAAGCATGTGGCCTGATTGCTGGGCTCCCACTGCAAGGAGAGGAGGGGGTGGCCCAGAGCCAGGCTTAGGGATTAGGGTAAGGAGAGTTGAAGCACTCACCACTCGCACCCAAATTTCAATTCCAAAGATGAACACTATGTTAACGCAATATTTTTAGAAAGTCAAAATGGGTGGGCACCAAAAAGTTCATGATGAACGAAATATCCAAATGTTAAGTGAAGACAGGAGCCGTGCCTGCACTTACCTCACTTTCCTTACCCTAAACCCAGCCTCTGGGAAGGATTGTCCCACCCCCAGCCTCCTGCTCCTGGGCGACTGGCCCGAAATCCCCTGGGGGTTCTCAGCTCTCTTTCCAGCTAAGGGAGGGGAGGTGAGTATGGCTGTAAACCCCCCAGTGTCCAGCTTGTCCCTGGGCATCCCCATGGCTTGGAGAATGTCTGTAGAGGGTTGGGAGCTGCCTCCCAGGGTCTGCGTTTCCTTCTGTCTGTGGCCTGGGCTGTGGAGTGCAGCTGGTAAGTGTGGGACCCCATCACTGTGGTCCATGAGTGAACGGGCATCTCTTGTGTGGGTGCCTGCATCTCTCTGTGTCCCCATCTTCATTTTCACTAGGTGTTTGTCTCTGTCTCTGACTCTCCTCCTGTGTCTGCCTCTATCTCTCAATCTCCCCATTTATCTGTGTGTTTGTGTGCGCGTGTCTATTTCCATCTTTCTCTGTCTCTTCTCTTGTCTCTGTCTCTCCCTCTGGATCTCACTCTCCCTGTCTATCTCTGTCTCTGTCTTTCTCCATGTCATCGTTCCCCTCCTGGGGTTTCCCCAACCCCTCCTCACTGCAGCCGGAAGGAAGGGCTGACTGACAGGCTGTGCTGGGAAAGGCCACGGGGTCTCCACTTCTCCCTTTCGTGGCCTCTTCTCCCTGCCCGCACCCTCAGAGCCTTCCGCACCCTCGCCTTGGACTGGGGGCTCCTTTGCCATCCCTGCTTGACTCTGTGGCCCCACAAACCAGCCAGTGAGTCAGACCCCGGGAAGGGGAAGTGGGACGCCTTGACAGGGGCTGGTTTCCCCCAGGTGGGTCTGAATGTCCTGCCTCCCCGAGGGTGCTCCCCACCCCAGCTCCTGAAAGCAGAGCCCACTGGAACCATGGTCCCAAAACTTCTCCTGACCCTCGCCCTCTGGGCCGGCTGTTCACTCTGCAGTGGGAGAGAAGGTATGTGAGACCCCCGTGAGGTTGGGGGGCCAGGGTAGAGGGACATTATCTGGGGACTGGACTTTGTCGTGGAACATTCTGGGGTGGGTTGGGAGCTCACACACCTACCTCATGCTCCCCTGTGGGAGGGGGTTATCCCATTGCACAGATGGGGAAACTGAGGCACAGGGAGGTCGAGTCCTACCCCAAAGTGATATCAGGAAGTGTCAGCCACAACCTGGGGGGCTGGTGAGGGAGAGAGAGAGGAGAGAGAGAAGGAGGGAGGGGGAGAGGGAGAGAAATTTTAACTGCATGCATTAATTTCATGTGCTTCAAAACAAAACTGTTACACAGAGGGGATACAGTAGAACATCTCCCTCCCACCAGGGTTCCCTGCCACCAAGGTCCCCTCTGTGGCTTATTAAACCTCAGTTTCCCCATCTAGAAAATTCACCAATAGTTCCTGCCTTGGCGGGTTGTAGTGGGGATGAGAGATGATGTAGGTGTCTTTCACTCATGTAGTCATTCATCCCACAAACCTTTATTAGGCACCTACTGTATGCCTGGCACTGGCAGGCAGTGAGGTAGGGACAAGCACATGGTAGGGCTTTGCAATCCTGGCATGGATTGAAAGTTCACCCTCTTGCCTCTCCCTCCAGGGACCCCGGCAGCCCCCACTCAGCCCCAGGTGCAGTGCCGGGCCGTTAGGTACCCGATTGCTGTAGACTGCTTCTGGACCCTGCCGCCTGCTGCAAACTCCACCAGGTCCACATCCTTCATTGCCACATACAGGTCAGAGAGCCCGGAGGGGCTTCCCGGGGATTCCACAGTTAGGCCTGACACCCTTGGGATCAGGACAACTGCAGACTTAGTGCTACACCGAAACCCTCTGAATTCAAGGGCAGCACTGCCTAGTCAAAATATACTTCCTACAATACATTCTGTGAGTCATGTGTGTAGTTCACAATTTTCTAGAAGCCACATTAAAAAAGTAAGAAGAAACGGGTGAAGTGAATTTTAATATCTTATTTAAATAATGTCTGTATATTCCAAATATTTATCACTTAATATGGTTGAGTATAATGTAAGTGAATGTTCTTATATACAGGGTATATATTTAAATGTATAATAGAAATTAATATTTACTAGGAATCACTAAAATATTATTTCAACATGTACTTATTATTTTCGAAATTAATGAGATACTTTACATTCTGTTTTTACTGAATCTTCAAAGTTCTATGTGTACTTTATGCATATGGCACATTTCAATTCAGATGCTACACTAACATTGAGAATTCTTAATCTCTGATTAGATTTCATAAAATTTGAGGTTGGAGCAGTAGATTCATGCACCCAACGTGTCCTGAACAACTTTTCCAAGTTTTCTGATAACTGGAAACTTTACATTTATTTATTTATTTATTTATTAAGATTTTTTTTTTAAATTGGGGAATTGGGGGGATGGGAACAGTGCTGGGGAATTGGGGGAAGGGGAACAGACAAGTTGCTGTCGTTTTGTTCTTCAGTCTAGTTGTGGAGGACGTTGCTTCACTGGCCCAAGTTGGCACCATCATTGCGCTCTTCTCTGGTGAGGCAGATCAGTCGCCGGCTTCTGGAAGGCCGCTCACTGCGGCTGCTGGCCGCTCACGCTGGCTGCTGGCTACACACGGTAGCCCATGGCAACCCACTGCCACAGGGGCTGCAGACTATGCCATTGTCGGTGACTCAAGGCAGCCCAGCTCCAGGTTGAGCTGTTGTTCAGCATCTTAGCTGTGGAGTGCAGTGTCACTGGCCCTTATACGTGGGATCCGAACCGGGGCCCTCTGGCATCGCAAGCCAGTTCTTAACCATCGTGCCACTCGGCCGGCCTGGAAACTTTACATTTAGATTAGATAAAATAAATTTAAAAGTTGCACTGAGCTGTGTTTCAAGTGCTCAATAGCCGCAGGTGACTAAGGAACACGTCTCACAATGCAGAAACAGGACATTTTGAAGCGGTGGAAAGTTCTATGGATGGTGCTGAGCTCAAGTCTCTAAAGTCTGAAATTTTGGAGTCTCAGAAATGGAGAGGATCAGAATCTTGCTATTTTAGATTCCAGAGTCTGTGAATCTGCAGACCTCAGGATGTTAGAATTCTAAGGCTGGATTGTTGACAGTCCAGAAACCTTAGAGTCTGGACTCCAGCATCTCCTGTGTTGTGTCAATGACCCCAACCATGGGTCATTGCAGGCTCTGTGATGTTGGGGTGGGTGCCTCCCCCAGGGTCACAGAGCCAAAAGCAGGACCCCAAAAGCAAGACTCCTCACCTGCTGTCTCCACTTGGGGTCTGGGGCACAGCCTGGCTAACAGGAAGTGCTGAGGCCCTCACAGTGCCCACCCCATGTCCAGGCTTGGAGTGGTCGCCCATGGGGAGAGCTGGCCCTGCCTCCAGCAGACACCAGAAGCCAACAGCTGCACAATCCCAGATGTCCAGATGTTCTCCATGGTGCCCTACATGCTCAACGTCACAGCTGTCCACCCCTGGGGTGTCAGCAGCAGCTTCGTGCCCTTTGTCCCAGAGCACATCAGTGAGTGGGGGTAGCAGTGGCGGGTGTGGAGGGCCACTGGATTGTTCCTGCTTCCCGCCCCCTCCTAACCCCCCGCCACCTTCTACCAGTCATCCAGCCCTCTCCATCATGGATCCTCTGGGCTCCATCTTCACAATGAATTAAGAATCAGCCCACTTCTCCCTGTCCTGCGCCTCCACCCGGTCCAGCCTCATTTTTGCCCACCTGAACCAATGCAGTCGGTCTCGCCCTGGTTTCCGGCTCCCTCCCTCGTTCCCCCATGGTCTGTTCTCCCTGCAGCCTACACCAGAGGGCGCCTGTGAGCACCTGAGTCAGGTTCTGCATTGGCCACCAGAGGGCGCGAGTGAGCACCTGAGTCAGCTCCCATCGCTCCTCTGTCACAGCCCTCCAGGGCTTCCACTTACCTCAGGGTAAAGGCCCAAGTCCTCCCCGTGACCCACAGGGCCCTGTACGATCTGCCTTGTCGCCTCCCTGCCAGGAATTGGGGCGGGGCGGGAGGCTGTGGCTGGTAATGGATGTGAGATCTCTTTTGGGGGTTATGGGAATGTTCTGGATTAAATAGTGGTGATAGTTACACAATGTTGTGAATGTACTAAAAACCACTGAACTGTACACTTTGAAAAGGTGAGTTTTGTGGTATGTGAATTATGTCTCAAAAAAACATTGCAGACGACTCCCCTCCCTGTACTCCGTAATGTTCTTCCCCGCTTTTATGATCAATAGATTTGCTTCTTGTCTCTTGTCTCCTGCCCTGATGAGTTGAGCTCCAAGAGGACAGGGTTTGGGTCTGTACTGGTCAATGCTGTGTCCTCCAGTGTCGGGAACATTGCCAGACACTCAGTAGGCTCTCAATATTTGTTGGTTGTTTGAACGAATGAATGAACCTGCCATCTGCTGACCCTGCCTCCTGTTTGTCCATCAGTCAAACCGGACCCTCCAGAAGGTGTGCGCCTGAGTCCCCTCCCTGGGCAGCAGCTGAGGGTGCAGTGGGAACCCCCCAGGTCCTGGCCCTTCCCAAAGATCTTCTCCCTTAAATACCGGGTCCGCTACAAGCGTCGTGGAGCTGCCCGCTTCCGCCAGGTGAGGAAGACGAGGGGCGGCCGGGAAGGGTGGTTCCTAGGTAGAGGGAACAGCACGTGCAAAGGTGCGCTGGGGCCTCCCACATAGCTCATAGCTCGAGGTTGCTCATGTGCACACTAAAGACAGCCCAGCCACTCCACCCCTGGGGATCTGCCCTAAAGAAGTGAAAACAGGGACTCAAACAAATCCTTGTACACAAATGTTCATAGCAGTGCTATTCACAACAGCCGAAAGGTGGACACAATCCAAATGTCTGTCAGTGGGTGAACATATACACAAAACGTGGCCCATCTGCACACTGGGATGTCACTCAGCAACAAAAAGGAGTGAGGCGCTGACACTCGCCACAACATGGATGGACCTTGAACACACGGTGCTCAGTGAGAGAAGCCAGACACACAAGGACACACAGTGTGTGATTCCATATATGTGAAATGTCCAGAACAGGCACATCCACAAAGAGGAAGTGGGTTAGTGGTTGTCAGGGGCTGAGGGAGGGGGAAGGAGAGTAACTGCTGATGGGGACAGGTTTTCATTTTGGGGGTGATGGAATGTTCTAGAATTAGAGGTGCAGGTTGCACAACACTGTGAATGTACTACACTGAATTGTCCACTTTAGAATGGTTAATTTTATGCCATATGAATTTCATCTTGATTGAAAACAATATATATTGTTTTAAATTCTTGAAAAATGAAAAATAAAGGTAGGGTCTGATGAGCATCTTCTATAGCTGCTCTTCCCAGAATGGTGGCCATGAGCCACTTGTGGCTTTCAAGCCATTGCAATGTGGTGAGTAGCCACAGAACTGGCTTTTAAATTTTATGTGGTGATCACTAATTTTTAAAAAATATTTGCAATTTTTAAATTGAGATAGAACTCATATGCCATAAAACTCAGTTTTAAAGTGCTCAAGCCAGTGGCTTGGAGTGTGTTTATGAAGTTGTGCTACCATTAATTAATCTAAATTTAAAACTTACAGCACCACATCTGGTGACGATGTGGGTCAGTTTGGGTAAAACAAGGATGGGAGATAGTCAAACCTGGGTATGGGAAGCTCCCTGTGTGGCTGGAATGGGACATTCTTGTATTGGCTTAGAATACCCCTGTTCATTCACCAAATGTGAAAGAATTCACAGGACTCAGAAAAGTAGGAAAGCAAGGAAAGTTTTATTCAAGGTCAGGCAGAGAGAATGCCCATGGCAGTATCTAAAGATACTGCCATGGGTAGTAGGAGAAAAGGACCAGCAGAGGAGTTGCTGGGGGCAAAGTCATCTTATATTTTTCTATGCAGGATGCAAGGGGCTAGTCATCTTGCAGTTGTTTGCTGTTGCTCCTGGCCCCTTCTGAGAACTGTTGTTGCAGTTGGCTTCCTCCAAAAAATGTCCTGGTGTTTGTCAGCCTGAAAGTGTAGTGCTAGCTGGGAGACTCAGAGCTAAGTGGTTAATCTTTAAACCTATTCCTGTTAGCTCCCAGACTCATTCTTCTTAACTCTTTTTGTGACTCATCAATTCTGAGGACGAGAGGGGACCTGGAAGGAACAGAGGGCTGGGACGGGGAGGGAGAGTGTGGAGTGGCAGGGACAGGGAAGAAAGGATGGACAAGAGAGAAAACAGGAAAGGCAGAGCTAAGTGAGCGTCTGAGGTGGAGGTTCCTGTGTGAGGACACGGAGAGGTCAGGGCCATTGGAAGAATGGATTATATTTCCTGAGAGAAGGGGGCATGCCATGTCACGCATTACAACATCAGGATGGCAGGAGCAGGAGTGAGGGGAGAGCTGAGGCCAGACCCTTTGCTGGGGTTTCCGTGGGAATGGCAGGGCAGGGGAACCACTTAGGGTTGGCAAGTGTGAATAATCCTGGCGAGCTGTGGGCTGCAGGGGTGACCTGTGGCTGTTTGGCACCTGGCCCTTGGACGATTCAGGGCAGGGGCAATACTGACTCGTGTGGGAAATTAGAGAAAGGAGGTGGGTGTGGGTATAGACGCAGGATTGGTTGGTTTGTATATAGAAGGCATGCTCCTGGGTGACCCTTTGTCATCTCTAAGAATTGGCAGAACCCAGGAAGGCAGTCTCTCCCCAGCCAGCAAGATGTTTAAGATGTCAAAACATGCTAAGATACAAATAATTTAAAAACATGGTTAATACAGTGGGTCCGGTGTGGGGGAGGCATCGAGGTAGATGCCAGAGGCACTGGTTGGGGGCCAGGAGGATCTGGTCAGTGAGGACTCTCACTGCTGAGACAGCCCTAGGGACTGGTGTGGGCCACAAAGGATTCCTGAACAAGGTGGCTCTGGGGCCAGCATGGAAGTCCGCACAGGTTAGGACCACAAAGGGCCAAAGATGGAGGGGGCTGGAGGCAGCATGCTGTTTACAATAGAGCAGGAGGAATAAAGGCTCAGTCACGCAGCTCTGTGCACAATAGCCCCTTCCAGCCTTCTGGGCCGCACTGACCTGCCCTCTTTTTGCTCTCAGGTGGGGCCCATTGAAGCCACATCCTTCACCCTCAGAGTTCTAAGGCCCCAAGCCATGTACTGCATCCAGGTGGCTGCTCAGGACCTCACGGACTATGGGGAGTTGAGTGACTGGAGTCTCCCTGCCACTGTCTCGGTGACCCTGGGCAAGTAGCGGGAACTTTCCAGCATCACAGAAGAGGGGCTGGGTCCTTGACTCCTCCCCCACTGCCATCCATTGAAAGGTAGATGGGACCTGACTGGCCTGGCTTTGTTGCTGCTGAGTTGCTGGGCTACCTTGAACAAGTGACTTTGCCTCTCTGAGCCTTAGTTTCCTAACCTGTGAAATGGATGTACTCCCTCCTTTGACTACAGAACTGTGAATATGAGATTTTTTTTATTTCTTAATTAGACAAAGACCGTTGTCACTGGAATTGGACTCTTTCTCTTCATTCAACAGACCCAGAGAGAAATCTGAGAGGACAGGACAGAGCAGGACACACATACTGTGATTCGCCACTGCATTGTATGGAGTCAGGGTTGGACCAAAGGAAGAGACCTGGGCTGAGGGAGTTGGGGTAGGAGTGCCATGGGTTCTACATGGATGAGATCGTGGGGGTCCATTCAGTATAGCAGTTTAATTCACCTCACCATCTCAAAAGCTGCCCAGATGTGAGCCCCACTGTGAGTGAATACAAATGGGACATGATTGTCTGGGAAAACTTCCCTGAGAAAGAGGCAAAGCAGCCAGGCCCTGAAGGATTTTCTCAAACCTTGGGCTTGTCTATGGATTTCACTTAGGTCTCATCTCAAAGGTCATGTCCTCTGAGAAGCCTTCTCTGACCACCTCATCTGTGGCAGGCAGAATAATGGCTCCCCAAAGATATCCAGGTCTTAACCCTCAGAACCTGTGAATATGGCACTTTACATAGAAAAGGAGACTTTGTAGATGTGATTAAATTAAGAATCGTGAGGGCCAGCTGAGTGGCTCGTTGGATAAGAGTTGTCTTGGGAGCACGAGCTCTGAGCAGCAGGGCCACCGGTTAGGATCCCACATGAGCCAGTGATGCTGCGCCCTCTATAGCTAAGATGGTGAACAATAGCTCGACCTGGAGCTGGGCTGCTGTGAGCCCCCATGAGCGGCAGTTCAATGGCCAGTGACCGATCTGCCTCAGCTGCAAAGAGCACAATGATCACAATACCCACATGGGCCAGTGAAGCGACGTCCTCCACAACTAGACTGAAGAACAAAAGGACAGCAACTTGTCTGTTCCCCTCTCCCAATTCCCCAATAAAATCTTTAACAACAACAACAAAAAAGAATCAGGAGGCTCCTTAATGTAAAATTTCATGATCTTTCATTAAGTTAATGATCATCAAGGAAGGCCATCCTGAAATATCCAGATGGTTCCAAGAAAATCACAAGGATCCTTACAAGAGGGAGGCAGGAGGATTAGGGAGAGATAGAAGGTGATGTGACAACAGAAGCAGAGGCCAGGGTGATGCAGGGCCAGGAGCCAAGTATTGCAGGCACCTCTACAAACTGGAAAAGTCAAGGAAATGGATTCTCCCCTGGAACCTCCAGAAGGAACCAGCCCTGCGGCACCCATATTACACTTCTGACCTCCAGAACTCTAAGATAATAGACGTGTGTTAAGACATTGCATTTATGGTAATTTGTTACAGCAGCCATAATTAACTCATACACCAACTCAAGTAACCCCTTCTCATCACTATCCATATGTTGTCCCGTTTTCTCCTCATATCGTTTACCAAGCTGGAAAGAGTCCTTTTTGTGTGTTTATTGACTGTCTGTCCCACAAGACAGTGATCCCTGTGGCGGCAGGCATCTTATGTCTTGTTCGCTGATGTGTCCCCAATGACTAAGCACGTATCTGACACAAAACGTTTAGAAAAGGAAGGGAGGAAGTTAGGGAAAGAATGGGGTGGGACGTCCTCTTTAAATGGACAGTGCAGGCAGGCAGTGGGGGTACATTTGGAAGCTAGTGTGTGTGTAGCCGGGAGGTGAGTTCGCAGTCTGGTCTTTCAGTCTCTGCCTGTGACTCAAATTTGGGGTGGGCCGTCCAGGGTATTTCTTTGTCACGACCTGTGTAGCCCATGGGAACTGCCCCAGTCCCCACGTGAGCGCTACGTACATAGGAACGATGTGTGGGTTCCCAGAGGCCAGCACACAGGGTAAGCTTTATTTGCTGAATAAAAGAATGTACAACAAAGAGTCACGACCAGCAGCCACGTCGGATCACGACGAAATTTTAACAAGCCGCTGCTGACCTCTAGGGGCACAGCGCCTACTCGGAACTTCTCCAACTCCAGACGGTCCCCGGAACTTTTGCTGCGCGCCGCCTAAATTGCAGCACTGGAGGGAAGACAGCGGGATTTGACAAGCGTGGGTCGGATCCAATGAGAAAGGCAAGCTGTGTATACTGCAGCCAATAGTGGGGGGAGTGCTGTAACGGAAGTACTAGGGGCAGCCGGAAGTACAAGAGATGGCCAGGTAAGTTTTGTAAACATCGACTCTAACTAGTTTTCTTGTACTTGTGAGAAGAGTAGGAAGTAAAGATGTCAGAACGAAAAGTTTTAATTGTAAGTGTTGGGCGTCTCGGGCTTTCTACCCGGGGCGGGGTATGTCGTAGCCCTGCCCGAAGCGGTCTTCCTATGCTCTCCTATTGGAATCTTCTCACCGAACGGCCTTATCGATGCGGGTCTTCTCACCCAATCACCTTCCGCGGGAGGTGTGCATCGCTAAACCTGCCCCTCGGTGCTGGGGAAGTACCCAATCGCCTGTGGGGGTGGAGCTTGAGCTAGTTACCCATTCACTTCCCCTGATTGGGTATTCCGGGCTTCCTTGAAATATGGGTATTTCCGCTGTCTCTACTAAACCCCGCTCCTCTTGGGGTCTCTAGCCAATCGCGTTCCTTGCAGGGGTTAGGTTTCCCTAAATCAGCCCTTCTGCTCTGCAGGCAGGGAACCCTTTCGGTTGCCTCAACTTCTCCCAACTTTGGGCAAAACCAGGACCCTTTGTGGTGGAGGGGGTCTTGGAAGGCAAGATTCAGCTTTCGGAGAAGAGAGCCCTGGAATTCAGAGTGCCTGTCCTCACCCCCCCCCCCCGCCCCGGCCCCCAGGAGGATGTGTGCTCACAATAAGAGAGTGAGATCCCCGGCCTGGGAGTGTGTAAGTCTAGGATGTCAGGATTGACAGCCAAGAGCCCAGGGTTCTGAGGTCGTGCTGACATCCCTTTCTGTGGTTTAGTGCCCTCATCTTTTAAATACCTATGTTAGGAATCCAGCCCCAGTGTTTTCACCTTCCAGTGCAGGGTGCAGGACTTCGTGAAGGTCCTTCCATCCTAAGTATCCAACTGGGAGCCATCTATTGGGTTGTCGGAAAAGTCATGACGCGTTTTTGTAACGAAAAAAAAAAAATACGTCATGACTTTTCCGACAACCCAGTATTTCTATAGTTTCCTGGTAGGTATTTCTGTGTGCTGGGCACTGCACTAAGAGCCATGCTCATCAAATCCTCACAGGTGGATGGGTTATATCCATTCAGATGAGGAAACTGAGGCCCAGAGTGGATATGCAATAGCCAGGGAGTGGAAGAGTTGAACCCAAGCTCCTGGCTTCATAACCCTTTCTCCTAGTCACTGTACTACACTGTTCCGCTAGAGTCGCGTCCCTGGGTCTGAATCCTGGCTCTGCTATTCACACTGTGACTCTGAGTAGCTGAAACCACCAGGACTTAGTTTCCTCCTCTGTGTAATGGGTACATCACTCTTCGTCTCATAGAATCTTTGAAAGAGGTAAAAGTGCTCTGTGTGGTACCTGGAGCTCAGTAGGTGCTCAAAACACAAAGTGCTTTATTTTCTGATTATCCGATGGAGTTATTTTTCATAATCCAAACCCATCTTCCCATGTCTCCCATTTCAGGATTCTGTGCAGAAAGTTTTAATACAGCAGGTCTGAGGCTGCTGACTTTAGAAAGACTGGCTTGCAAGGTTGGACCTTGGCTGGCATCTGGGAACTTGAATTTCGGAATGGTTCCCACTGTTTCCTGATGAGAATGGCTCCCTGGGCTTAAACTGTTTTTACAATGTGGTTTATGCTGAGCACCTGCTCTCCTCCTGGAGTCTGTAATCTTGGTCCATGCTGGGCAGAGGTGCCTGCGTGACCAGCCCCCAGTGATAACCCTGCCACTGGGTCTCCATGAGTTTCCCTGAGACATTTCACATGTGTTGTCACAACTCATCGCTGCCCGCATTGAGCACATCCTGTGTGATTTCATTGGGAGAAGACTCTGGGAGCTTGCACCTGATCTCCCTGGACCTGCCCCACATGCCTTTTCCCGTTGTTGATTTTTCTCTATACAATTGTATGCTGAGCCCAGGAGCCCTCCCAACAAATCATTGAACCCAAGGGGGTCTTGGGGACCCCAATACAGCTCCCAGAGGCCCTTCCCTTGGCTCCTGGTCTGTCCTTGCTTCGGAAAGCAGCTCCTTTGACGCTTCCTTTCTCCCCGCAGAAATAACCACCTGCTGGACCTTGACCCATCAAAGATCCCAAGCTTGGGGGTGACCAGTTAGCTCAGTTGGTTAGAGTGCAGTGCTGATAACACCAGGGTTGCCGGTTCGATCCCCACATGGGCCACTGTGAGCTGCTCCCTCCTTAAAAGAGTCAACTATGCCATTGTACAATAGCATGAAAGCAATGTGTAACTAATGACCATGGCTGTTCCCCAATTAAATTTTTTTTTAATCCCAAGCTAAGGTCCCAAAAGACCAGCAGTACATGGTGCCGCTGATGGACCCTTCAACATGAGGTGAAGATAACACCTGGATCGCAGCTCCATGCAGGGGCCTGGGACACCCGCTTCCCTCGGGCTCCCTGGAGGTGAGCGCAGTGCCTTGGGTGGCCACTAGGTGGAAGCAGCGCCCCGGTGTTGTGACGGAGCCTCCATGGGCTATTAGTGTGGCGTCAAGTGCCCGCGACCAAGCCCAGCCCCAGTAGGATAAGGGGAAAAGGGATGGAGTTTCCTTTTTTATTTTAATTTCAAAAGGAACACGTGCTTGCTTTTAAAACCCAAGTCAGAAGTGTATAAAATAAAATGTCAGCTCCCCTGACACCACCCCCGTCTGCCCATTATTCTGTTGTCAATAGGCACCCGGCTGCAATCCTCCAGGCTTGCCCCCCGCCCCCCGCCCCGACCCCATACATCTTAGTCTCCATTGTTGTGTAGCTGATGCTCTGTGTGTGTGACACCCCCTCCTCCCCACGCCACCCTCGAAAGATTGAACATTAGAGCGGGGTCAGCCTGGTGAGGTGGTTAAGAGCAGGATTCTGGGTGAGCAGTTTGGGTGTGGGTCTCCCACACCTCCATGTGCGTGTTCTGTGGCCTTGGTTGAGGGATCTCACCACCAACCCCACCCTCAGGCCTCAAGTTTCCTGTCCCAGAAGATGCAGGTAGCAACAGGACCAACTTCATAGGGTTTTTGTGTTGATAATCCTCGAGTTTCTCCATGTCAGGTGCCTGCAGTAAATCCTGGCACACAGCAAGCCTGTTCACGTGAGCCATTGTCATTAGGCCAGTTATCACCCTGTTTATCAGATAAGGAGATGAAGGCCCAGAGAGGTAAAGCCACTTGCCCAAAGCCACACAGACTTGGGTAGGTGATGGAGCTAGGGCCTGCCCCTTTTAATCACCGTGATATGTAGCATTGAGTTTGAAATTGGAGCCTACCTAGCCCAGGTGCCTTTGCCTTACTGGGCGGGGATTTCTATCGGTCAGTTTTCAGAAGTGGAGTTGCTGAGTCAAATAGCATGCGTGTTTAAACTGTAATGGGTCCCTCCAGGAGCTTTCCAGAAAGGCAGGGCTGTTTCTGTACCGCCTGACCCTACTCTCCTGGCCTCATCCCAGGCTCAGCACTTGCGGAACTGTCAGGAGTGGGCTTCCTATGCTCTCCTATTGGAACCTTTTTTTCTAACTTAACTGCCCTTCTGCGAGGCGGAACTTGCCGCCCAATCTCCTTCCGCGGGAGGTGTGCCTTTACGAAACCTGCGCCTCGTGGCTGTGGGGGGGCAGAGCTTGAGATATTTTTACCTACTCGCTTCCCCTGATTGGGGTTCCCTTCTTGGGGGCGGGGCTTCATTGAAAATATTGGTATTTCTGTTGTATACCTTCACCTCTACTAAGCTCCACCCTCCTGGGGTCTCTAGCCAATTACAGGGACCAGGCGTGGTGGGCTAGCTCTCACCTCTTAGGCTCTTTAAAGAACCGGAAGCTAGCTGACCCTGCACCTCTGATACCTACTGTTACCTCTTCCTTGAGCCAGCTAGGTGTGTATTCCAACATCAAAGACAGCAACTGAGTGACCCACAGGTCAGAGGTTTCACTTCTAGCTCTAGCGGGTGGTCTGGGAAGGAGGCCTTGGCACCAACCAGAGTCACAACCAGACAATCACGAACGTTGTCCACGACCAGCAGGCACAGCGACGGTTTCAGCCAAGGGACTCGGTTTCTCTCCTGTCGCCCCACTCACCATCCCTCCAAGACCTCGGGGTCCCCAGCACACATTGTCACACTCGTGGCACTAAGTTCAGGGCTGTGACATCCCTGAAGCAGCTTCTGGCCAGCCTTTACAGTCCTCTCTTGGAGAGTCCTTGAGACGTCAGCCATGTTTTGAGCACATAGGTGAGCCTACCCATCCAAGAGTAGCTTCCTCCCTTCTGTTACAGAACCATCTGGGACCAGTAAAAGGAACCTGGCCATCTGGCTTGGGCGCCTTCTCTGTGCCAGCATCTGAGGAGGGGGCGGTAGAACCATGCAACTGAATCAGTCCTGGATTCCTGCCTCAGAAACCATAAGATGACAAATGTGTGTTCAGCATGTGAAGTTTGGGGATATTTGTTATACAGCAATTGATAGCTAATATGGTCACATGACCAGGCTTCCAAGTTCATGTTCTTTCAAAGTTGCCAGATTTCAACTTTGGTGTAATCCTCTCCCATTCCAGTACTTTCTAGTTGAAGGTTCTGTTCCACCACCAGACTCTCCTCTCCCACCCCTCCCAGGATGTCTGACATCAACACGCAGGTTCTCTCTCCCTCTCTCTCTCTCTCTCATTCACACACAGACTTTCATTTGGCATTTGATAATGAGGCTTTGTGTTTTTCACTGTCAGAGTTTGGGGGATGAAAAGCCCCCACTTTGGGGATCCACTTTCCTATCTGCTTAGATATGACAGATGAAGAGGTGACCTGGGATCCAGCCAGAGCTTCTGATGAGGACTTGGGGCCTCACATCACTGCTCCACGGCTGCAAAGACAGGACCTGGGGCCCCTGGCTTTGAAGCCCTGACAGTGGTGGGCTGAAGGCAGCTTGTACTGGCAGCTGGTGAGAACTGACACATGGCGTCAGTCCCGCAGGCAGCAGCATCATATTTGTGGCTTAAAATTGGCCAGAGCAGGAGTATTTACAGCAAGGAAGTCAGCAAACACTACAAGGCAGCCCCCCACACCAGAGAGCCCATTGTGAAATATTCCCCAGCACACCACGCTTGTCTTCCCCCAGGATCATGCACCGAGCAGAGACTGCGGTCCAGTCAGAAACTCTTGGTTAAAACAAATCATCCACCTTAAGGAATTGTGAAAAGTGACTGAGGGGGATTGAGAACTCACTAGCGCATTTTTTAAAGTTTATTGGGGTGACAATGGTTAGTAAAATTAGATAGGTTTCAAGTGTACAATTCTGTAATACATCATCTATATATCACATTGTGTGTTCATCACCCAGAGTCAGTTCTTCTTCCATCACCATATATTCGATCCCCTTTACTCTCTTCTACCATCCCTGCCCCCCCGCCCCCCCTCTCCCTCCCACTGGTGCATTTTGAGTCATTCTTCAGACTGTTTCCTGAACTTCTGTCATTCTTGACCGGCCATCATTCTTGCCGAGTGCATGCGAGTGCATGCGCTATCAGTTACTGTTACTTAATATCATTATGGGTTAACTCCATTCTAAAACGTGGGATAGGGCTGGCCAAGTGGCTCAGTTGGTCAAGAGCTCGTTCAAGAGTGCGAGCTCTGAGCAATCAGGGTCTCTGGTTCAATTCCTGGTCTGAGCTGAGCTGCCACTGAGCTGCCAACAGGTGGCAGGATGGCTCAGCTAAAAAAATAAATAAAAATAAATAAAACATGGGTTAGTAAAACCACGGTCCATGGCCTCCAAACCTACCCCATGGCCTGTTTTTGTAAATAAAGTTTCATTGGCACACCGGCTCACCCATTTGTGTGCATATCGTGTGTTTCCGCTGTACAGTGGCAGAGTTGAGTAGTTGTGACAGAGACTCCATGGTCTGCTAATCCAACATGTTTATACAGAAAGTTTACTGGCACCTGTGTGGGTCACTCAGCTCTCTAGCTACAGCTCTGCTCCCACAGCCTCCAGGGGAAGGTGGCCAAGACACCCTCTTTCCCAATTTCTAGGCTCACACTGTCTCTCCAGCTCTACTGGCTGTGGTCACCCTGAGGACCGGGGCCAGCTTCCCACTCCACAGTGTGACACAGTGGGTGGAGAACACAGGGTCCATTTAACGAGTAATAACAGCTAATGTTTGTGCAGCACTTAACCATTTGCCAAGCCTTGTGCTGAGGTCTTTATGCAAACTTGCCCATTTAAGTTTCCCAAAGCAAGTGTATTAATCCATTTGCTCATTCCAAAAAATATTTATTGAGCACCTACTATGTGCCCGGCTCTATTTTAGGCACTGAGGCTACAGCAGTGAAGAAAAACAAATGGTTGTCACTCATAAAGGTGACATTCTTGTTAGAAGGTGGGTAATAAGAGAGTAAACATACCTACATATAATAATAAAATATAAACAAAATAAATGTATACTGGAGGTGATGATAATGATGATGAAAATAAAGCAATATTGGCCAGCTGAGTGGCACATTGGTTAAGAGTTGGCTTGGGACGCCAGCTCTGAGAAGCAGGGCCCCGGTTTGGATCCCACATTAGGGCCAGTGACACTGCGTCCTCTACAGCTAAGATGGTGAACAACAGCTCAGCCTGGAGCTGGGCTGCTGTGAGTGGCCAGCAATGGCCTAGGCTGCAACCCCTGCTGCAGTGGGCTGCCATGAGCTACTGTAAGTGGCTGGCAACTAGCATGAGCAGCCAGCAGCCTGTGTGAGCTGCCGTCAGCAGCCGTCCAATGGCCGGTGAGTGACTGCCTCGCTGGGGAAGAGTGCAATAATAATACCAACATGGGCCAGTGAAGTGACATCCTCCACAACTAGACAGAAGAACAAAAGGACAGCAACTTGTCTGTTCCCCTTCCCTGATTCCCCAACGCTGTTCCTCTCCCCCAATTCCCCAATAAAATCTTTAATAAAAAAAGAAAAAGAAAGCAAGGTAAAAAGTTCTGAGGGGGTGCCTTTAGGCGGTGTGTTTATTGCCCATTTCTCCCTATGTGAGTTATCTAGAGCTGTGTAACAGATTACCCCCAAAATTAGCAGCTTAAAGCAATAGGAATCTGACATGGTTCCACTGGGTTCTGTGCTTTAGGGCCTGTCACAGCTGCAGTTAAGGTGTCGGCAGGTGGCTACCTGCCAGATCCCCCAGCAATAGTGAGCTTTGCAAGGGTAGGTATCATGTTGATGAGTGTGTCCCTAACCCCTAAGGCCATCCAAGTGCTCTTTAAGTGTTTGTAGTGGGTGTCTCCCCTTTCACCATCTGGCCCTGGGAGACCCACCTCTGCCACCCCTCCCTGCTCCTCCAACCACCACTGGAAGTGTTTCTTTAATCTTTATTTTTCCCTGCAGGCTTTTATGCTTTGTTCTCCTACCCTGTGACCTGGGAGCAGGTTTGCTCTTGGCCCCCAATTCCTTTGTGGGGTTTCCAGGGTTGAGCAGAGGGACAACACATTTGGGGTGTCATATATGCAGACCCTGCCTGCTCCTGCACTCCAGCCCTTCCCTCTCCCCTGAACCCGCACCCCACCCCTGCTCCCTGGAGCCTGCTCTTCCCCCATCACTGCTGACAGTCCTCTTTCCCCATGAGCTCCATGTCTGTCATCTGGTTCTCAGGACCTGTCAGGCCTCATCCAGAATCTCCTCCATTAGCTCCCCTAGGGACTGCCTGGCTGCTGGAGCACATCAGAGGGACTGAGATTGGAGGTGACCTCTCCTCCTGCTGGAGCCCACTGTTGCCTAAGCCTGGGCTTCACAAAGACGAGGGCCCGCTCTTACTGCGGGCCAAGCACTGGACCAAACTTCCTCCACACTAGAGCTCGCTGCCCACTCCCTCAGGCACACGTTCCATTTTCCAGGGGAAGGAAGGCTCTTTGGCCAAGGGCTTGAGAGCAAGTGAGGGGCAGGACCTGGGTTTGAAACTGCAAGGTTCCAAGGCTACACCTTTGATCACCATACAGAGCGGAATCCTCCAGGGGCTGGGCTGTGGCTCCCCCATTAGGCTGGGGCCTCGATGACAAGGCTGTGCTTCCTCCATCAGACTAGGGTCCTGGGAAGGCTGGAATATGCCTCCCCCATCAGACTGGAGCCTCTGAAGTCAGATTCATGCCTCCTCCATCAGATTGGAATCCTGGGACATCAGGGCCATGTCTCCCTCATTAGACTGGAAACCCCTGAAAGCAAGCACATATTTTTTCCATCAGACTGGGTACTTCAAAGGGAATGATCATGCCTCCCCCATCAGACTGGGGTTCCTGAAGAAGGGCTTATGTCTCCTCCATCAGCCTGGGGCCCTAAAGGCAGGGCCAGTCTCTCCCCTCAGGTTACAAGCCCCTGAAGTCAGAAGCATGCCTCCCCCATCACAGTGGGTGTTTCAGAGGGTAGGAGCATGCTTCCCCTATCAGACTGGGAGCCAACTAAGGCATGCACATATCTTCTCCATCAGACTGGGGGCTTCTGAGTGCAGGACTATGTCCCTCGCATCAGACTGTGAGTTAAGAAAGGCATGACTGTGTCTAGGAGCTTCTGAGGGCAGAGGTTAACTATCCAGTCAGAGCAGGAGCTCCATGTCTCCTCCATCAGATCAGCAATTTTTAGGTCCCACCATGAGCCATCCTCACCTGGTCCCTTCTATCCTGGTGCTATCCCATTCTCTCCAGACTTGATGATCCATGAAGGTTGCTCCATGAGACAAGGGTGACAGGACAGAGACGCAAGCACAGCCCCCAGCCAGGGTCCCCATCCAGCTCATTCCTGGGGTCCAATCCACCCTAAACATATACTGAGCACCTACTGTGCTCCACACACTGGAATATTACTCAGCTATGAAAAGGAGAGGGGCGTTGAAACTCGTTACAACGTGGATCGATCTTGAACATGTGATGCGCAATGAGAAGCCAGACACACAAGGTCACACCGTGTGTGATTCTATTTATGTGAAATGTTCAGAACAGGCACAACCACAGGGACAGGAAGTGGGTTCGTGGTTGTCAGGGGCTGGAGATTCGAGAGAATGGGAAGTGACTGTGGATTGGATACACGATCTCTTTTTGGGGTAATGAAAATGTTTTGGAATTAAATAGTGAGAGTTATACAATCTTGTGAACATACTAAAATCCTCTGAAATGCATGCTATAAGTGGGTAAATTGTAGGGTATGTGAATTATATCTAAAAAAAAATAATAAAGTGCTCCAAACAGTGTCAGGCAGTAAATGCTCAACAGAGACTAGCTGTTAATTCTCCCGTTTCACAGATGGGAGAACAGTCCAGGTTACACTACCCAAGGTCAGGCGGGCTGGGATTCCAGAGTCAGCCACCACCACTACCACCACCCCCACACCCCATCCCCGTTGAACTGCCTCTCAGACTATGAGTGCTGGGGGGGGGGCCTCAGCCCAGGACCACAGACCACCCACCTCCTTGTCTTTGTCCACGCAGTGCCCCCCTCCTGGCATCACTCCCCGGCTCCCTCCTCTCCGATCAGAAAGCCAAAACCCAAGAGGTTGAGGCTCTTCAAGGTCACACCCCAGGTCACAGGACCCCCCAGCCTGGCTCTCCTCCAGTCCGCCCCTTTCCGTTCCTCTCCCCGCTCCTCCTCCGCATCCCCTCCCTGATCCCCTCCTCGGGTTGGAGGGGCAGCCCCAGGAGAAGCCAGCTCAAAAGCGCAGGAAAGTCAAATGCCGTTTGATTCCACCCCCGGGGCCTCTCATTGCTATTCCTGACACACACTGCAATTAGACGGCCCCTTTCAAATATTTATGCCTCAGATGCCGGGTATTTATCCGACAGAGAGAGGACTCGGATTTGATGAGATCTGTCAACAGCTCATCCCAGAATTGCCTTGCGGGCTGACAGAGAACAGGACAATTATCCGCCGTGCTCCCTGGCGTTCCCTGGGGACGCTGCCTTGTCACTGATCGGGAGCGGGCAGGGGTGGGGTGGGGCTGTATAACTGTGCTTCAGGAAGGAGGACCGAGTTCTACAGGTTCGTGTAGGGCGACACAGCCAAAGCGGGAAAGAGGAGGACCCAGGGAAACCCCTGCTGCGGTTAGAGGCTTTGCCTTGTCAGCTCTGGACCTCAGTTTTCCCACCTGGAAAATGGGGCTAGCAGTGTAGGGAGACGGAGAATCACTGATTCCATGAAGAGACTCTGATAGGTCTCAAATGCTACCCCAAGCCAGGCCATGTCATGGCATCCAGAAATGAGCTGCGGGTTGGCTCTGAGTAAGTCCTTCCCCCTTTCCATGCCTTAGTTTCCCCATTGGGAACTCCCTCTGGCGATTCTTCCTCCAGATCTTTGGTGGTTTCCTACTAGCAGACCTATTTTCCAAGCCAGGAAAGCAAGGTGCAGCCGGCATAGACATGGCCCCAGCCCCACTGCTCTTCCGGGGGTGGGAGGGGGAGCTCACAGCACTGTCAGCTCTGACTTCGGTCTGGTCCTCCGTCCCCCTCCAAGCCACAGGCATCTGCCCCACCCTAGGTGTCTGCTAGCGGGGAATCTGGGATCCCATTCTTCGTGACCACTCCTCTCTTACTCCAATATTAGGGGAACAGAGCAAGCCCCTTATGGGGCTTGAAAAAACCTTTGCTCTGTAAGTGGCCAGAAGCATCCTGTGCCTGTTTCACTCGCCCCCTCCCCCCCCACCACCACCTTAGTGTCCTTGCTCCCAGACAGCTGCAGCTGCCAATAGGCAGCCAGGCCAGGCGAGACCCCTTTCATTTCTGTCCCCCTCCCTGCCTCCACCCACAGAAGCCACAAAGGGACAGATGCTGAGGACACGCGCCAGGCATAGATACCATCTCCCTTCCCCAGGCCAGCTGCCCCAAGCCCCTTCCCCCATCCTGCAGTTAGTCCCCTGGGAAGGGGGTATACAGAGCAGAGCCCTCTCGGGGGAGGGGAAGCCAGACCCCCGTCCCTTATGTTGCCTCCCCCTTGTCTTCGGCTGCGTCTGTATCCGTATTAGCCGGTGACCTCTGCAACAGTTTCCACAACCCCAATCTCCTGGTCAGTTTCGCCACCAGATCCTGGTTCAATTTCAACCCTCAATGGTGGGGTCACTCTCACCCCCTCTGCTGGTCAATTTCGCCCCATTTCGCGGTCAAGTCCAACCCCTATTTCCCGGCCAATTTCCATCTCCCTCCCTCTCCCCCTTCCGCCTCGGCACCTCTCGCTCTCCTGAGCAAGGTCAACCCCTGTCGGTTCCCACCTCCCGCGCTCCTCGCTCGCTCCTGCCGGCCTCGGTCCTCCGGGTCAGTGTCCAGCAACCGCGGCCTCGGTCCCCGCGACTCCCGCCCGGCATCCTCCCTCCCTCCGTGGGCAGCGGCCCCACTCCTTCCCCAGAACAGCTGAAGGTCTCAGTCACCTCCAAAGGGAGCGCTGTGGGAGGGGAGGGGGCGGGGGAAGCCGCGGGGGAGGAAGGCGGAGAAGCCTTGACGTCGCTGCCCGGGACGCGGCCGGGGGCTGGTAGGGGCTGGGGCGTCCGCCTGCGCGCCCCCTCCCCAAAGTCCCACCTATCTGCCGCGCGCCGGCGGCGGCGGGTAAAGTCTCTCCGAAAGCGTGAAGGGTGGATTGCAGGAGGTTTTATTTCCCTTTGTGCCGGTGGCTAGGATTGGATTGAGGCGGCGGGGCTGGGGCCGCGGGATTGGGGCTCCCTCCGGAGCCAAGGGAGCGCCACAAAGGATGCACCGCGTCGGGGTCACCGTCCCTGTGGCCCAACTTTAAGCGCGGCTCCTGCTCCCCGGTGGAGCCCGCCCGCTGCGCTGAGAACGCAGGCTCCGGGCTGAGCCAGGGCTGGGGGCGTCCGCAGGCGGCGTTTTCCTCAACTCCTGGACCCCAGGAAGGGATCCCGGAGCTTCCTGGCGGCAGCGGCGGCGGGTGGCCACCCGCGCACCGGGACTCGCTGCCCGCAGAAATTCCGCGCGCTTCCGCAGATGCCCCTCGCCCTGGCAGAGCGACCCCGCTCTCGGCGTTCGGGGCCCTGCCGGGCGCCCCCTTCCCTCATGGTCTTCCCAGCGCCGGGCTAAGGTGGGCTTTAGCACCTCCTCCCTCCTCATCCTTCCTCCTCTGTCTCTTCCTTTTTCTCCCCTTTTTACCCTCTTCTGAGCCCCACCAAAGGGCACACCTGATTTTCCTCCTCCTTTTCCACCCCCTCCTTCTCCCTGGGGGCTCTGACGAGGAAGGGAGCCCGGAAGGGGGCATGTGGGGCTCCCTCTGACAGTGACTAGGTTTGGGGTGACTCGTGCCCAAATGGCCAAGTGGCTACGGGACTACCTGAGCTTTGGCGGTCGGAAGCCCCCTCCGCAGCCGCCCACCCCCGACTACACGGAAAGCGACATCCTGCGGGCCTACCGGGAGCAGAAGAATCTGGACTTCGAGGACCCCTATGAGGACGCAGACAGCCGCCAGGAGCCAGACCCCGTGGGCTCCGGGGACTCAAAGTATGACTCTCCCAAGCACCGGCTCATCAAGGTGGAGGCAGCCGATATGGCCAAAGCCAAGGTCTTGCTGGGCAATGCTGGGGAAGAGGTGCGTGGCTAAATGTGGGAGTCTGGGTGGCCCCAGGAGACTGTGTGGGGAGGGCTGGGCTGGACTTTGGGGAGCGCGTTTAATGTGTGACCCCAGGGGCAGACCAGGGCCCCAGGTAGACACTCCCCAGTCCTCCACCTGCTGGGCAAAGTTTGATATCTTTCCCTTTTCAGTGCACAGTGCTGGTCAGTGCTCTCTGACGGCCCTGCTTTGTCCCCTTGTCCTCCTGCTCCCTGGTGGACCCCCACCCCCAGTCTCCTTTCCTCAGCTACCCTTCCTCTTGGCAGCTGGAGGGATCTTCCTAAAACAGATCTGAGCAATTCACTCCCCTATTGGACACTAAAACATTCTCACCACTACTCTTTGCACTTCCTCTGTTATTTATTCCCATTTTACAGAAGTGGAAACAGGCTCACAGAAGAGAAGTGACTTGACCAAGGTCACATGGCTCTAGCTCCAGACCTGCCTCTAATGCCCATGCTGTTTACAGTATTTTTCCTAGAGGGTCACTGCAAACCCTCCATGGAGACAGAAGCTTTTGGGGAGGGTTAGGAGAGGCTGCGTTGGGTAGCAATTGATGGCACAGAGAAAGGCAGGAGGAGGCAGGGACTCTGGAAGAAGACAACCTGGGATCAAAACCTTCCTCTTACTAACCAGCTCTGTGACCTTGAGACTTATCCTCTCTGTGCCTTGGTTTCTTCATCTGTAAAATGGGGATAATGTGTTTACTGTGTGTTGGTATGACAAGTAAATATATGTAAAGCATTTAGAACAGTTCTGGCAGCTGATAAACATTAACATTATTGAAGGAGAGAGGTGGGGGTCTATGTCAAAAGAGTCAGAGCTGCACAGAGGAAGCGAGCAGGGGAAGCTGGCATCTGTCTGCAAATACTCCTGGGTGGTAGACGAGACTCCCTACCTCCCTGCCAAAAAAAAAAAAGAAAAAAGAACTGTTTGGAGGGGATGAGTCAGATGGCCCGGAGAGAGCAGGCAGAGGGTATGTTATTACCCAGAAGAGGGTATCCAGAGCCAGGCTTGGTCCCCCTGAGCCTGTGCCTCCCCACTTTTCCTCTCTCCCCAGTCAGAAGTTGACACGGAATACTCAGACCCCTTTGATGCCCAGCCTCATCCACCATCCCCAGATGACGGCTACATGGAGCCTTATGATGCCCAGCGAGTTGTGAGTGGTGAGTGAGCAGAGCTTGAGGGAGAGTGACAGAGTCCCAGGTGGGAGTGGGAGCTGACCAGTATCTTCGGCCTCCCAGAACTGCAGTGCAGAGCCATGCAGCTGTATGACACTCCCTATGAGGAGCAGGATGGGGACCCCAGAGATGGGCCTTCTTCAGGGCAGAGGCCTCGACAGAGCCGGCTGCCCCAAGAGGATGAACGACCAGCGGATGAGTATGACCAGCCCTGGGAGTGGAAGAAAGATCACATATCCAAGGCGTTTGCAGGTGCTTCTCTGACCCAGGCCTTGACCTCTGAATGCCCAAGTCCCTCTATTTCCTGCTCTGATCACATCCCCTGCTTCAACATACAAAGTAGACTCCAGTCATTTGCACTTTGGTAGTCTGTTAATTCTCACTAAAGTGTGAATGACTGATAATCATAAATTTCTCTTCCCAAAAGAAACTGTATTTTCTTTGGAAACTGAAGCATCTTTTAGAGGGCAATGGAACCTACTCTACTCAGTATAATGCAGGGAAGGACTTTGGTGTCAGACTAGACCTGGGTTTGTGTCACTTACTTGGGCAAATCACTTATCTCCCTGGGCCTCAGTTCCATTACCTGTAAAATGGGGATCATTATAGTACCTACCAAATAGGGTGCTAGGAAATTGAGTGCTAGAAAGTGCTCAATTACATAGGAGGAGAGAGTAGCATTTCTTAGTAGCTGTTATCAGATAGACTTGGGTAAGCTTGGACAACTCTCAGAACCTCAGTTTCCTCTTCTGTAAAAGGGGTAATAATGAGGTCAGCTTTAAGAAACAATGTGAACCAGAAAAAGTTGTGTGAACCTAACTTTGCCCCATAGGTTGTATGACTGGGAGGGGAATTTAGGCTCAGTGCCTCAGTTTACTTGTCTGTATATTGGGGTTGGTTTTCTAGTTCTATGACTTGCCCAGAATGGGGCAGAACTTCCAACCCATCCCTCTGGCCACGTCCCCTGCTCTCTGATTTGTCACTCACGGAACTGCCCTGTCCTTCCATGTCAATAGACTTATGAATAACCACACGGCTTTCTTCTGAAGGCCAATTGGTTGTTCCTGTACCAATCCAGCCTTAAACCCAGCGCCTACTCTTCTGAATTCTGTTTTGTTGCCCCATTAGCATCACCTTCCTATTGAAATTCCCTAGGCTTGCCCCTGTCCCACCCTCCCAGCTAGGCTGGATTTAACCCTTTTCTCTCAAATCCCTACCCCTCCAGTGCAGTTTGACAGTCCGGAGTGGGAAAGGACACCAGGCTCAGCCAAGGAGCTCCGGAGACCCCCTCCCAGAAGCCTCCAGCCTGCAGAGCGTGTGGACCCAGACTTGCCCCTGGAGAAACAGCCGTGAGTGGAGAGACTGAAGATGGAAGAGCCAGGTTGAATCACTCCCCACCCCTTACCAGCTATAGATTCCCAGACAAGGGAGGGCTAGAAAAACTTTGATCCATTCATTCACTTCATTTTTTCAACTAATCTTCATTGAGCGCCTGTGCCTGCTGTGTGCCAGACACCTAGCTAGATGCAAAGCAGAATCAGATGGAATCTCAATTCCTTCTGGTACCAGAATCTGGTTTCAAACCCCGGCTCTGTATCTCCTGGTTGTGTGCAACTTTGGGCAAGTAACTTAACCTCTCTGAGCCTGAGGCTCAAAACCCTCAAGATAGTACCTAACTCAAACAGAATAAAATGGGCTTTCCTCCCTTCACTTGGGTGGGGCTTTTAAGCCTGAGAACAAAGAGACAGAAGTTATTCTCACCCCCAGGAAATCTTGGGATGGGACTGGGAAGAGCAGGATTTTGAGGGGGGCCCAACTTTGGGCTAGGGCGAGGCCTGTGTCCTTCCAGCCTAGGAGCTCCCCAAGGAACTCCCTAAGTCCCCAGAGCCCAGCCCTGTGGGTGTGTTTATCACAGTCCTTCCCAAACTGCTTAGGTGGGCGATACAGACCCGACTAATTAACACTGAAGTACAGGGTGAGAAGTTCATTCTCTTGTCAATTTTCTTTCAATACAAACAACAGATGATGCTCATCTGTCTCTGACACCTTGCTTGCAACTGCTACCTCTCTTTGAGCATATTAAAGAAAAATATTAAGTAAAGAATGGTTCAGGTGGGTGGGGATACAGGATGTGGCAAATCTCATAAAAGTGACATGCAAGTGATTCAAGTTGGGGGATTAAGGATGAGGCTGAGAACACCTGGGATCCAGCCTAGAAAGGCTAATAAGATCAAGGTCAGATGTACCCTGTTGAATTGGGGGGAGCAGCTCCACGTTGAACTGGGCTCAGCTGCTTCCCCAGGAAATCCAGGCTCCTCTTGAGAAACCCAACGGAATTTTTCTCTTATTTGTCTGGACGTCAAAAGTCCTTGAACTGGCTGTGCCTGCACCAGACCCCAGGGTGTGTTTGAAGGGGGGTCACCCTCCTTGAGACATATGCCCCCACACCCTAGGTGGTTTCACGGCCCCCTGAGCCGGGCGGATGCTGAGAACCTCCTCTCGCTCTGCAAGGAAGGCAGCTACCTTGTGCGGCTCAGTGAGACCAGCCCCCAAGACTGCTCCTTGTCCCTCAGGTGAGACCCCAGTCCCCTGGAGGGACAGAGGGTCACAGGACTGCATGCCTC